GCATGAGTTCTTTGCCGAGCTGAATTATTATTTGAATGTCAGCAGACAGCAAAAGCCTCCCAGATCTCCAGATGCATTTGAGATATCAAAAAAGTACTCCAGAGTGTTGTTCAGCATGGGGGTGAGTAGAAAATGAAGGCTAATCATTCCTTTAACCCCCGATTGCTCTCCGGGTGCCGCATAATGGCAGCCCATTGCAGAGGTAAATTTCTCCAATTTGAGATCAATAAAGTTCAATTAGATGGTTGCATGTATGCAAAAAAATATATAAATTTGGCCCAAATACAATAGCATAGCAGTTTTGATGCCATTGCATCACTTATAAAAGCTCTAAAACATTGTTTTTTAATAGTTTTGTTTTTCAAACGTCAGTCAGTTAATATGGACATCCATATTTTTAGTTCTGTGTAATTTCAGATTAAGTGCACTTAATGCTCTTTTTCATGCTGTTTGTTCACTAGCATTCTCTATCAAACCTCTGAGGCCTTTACAGGACATCTGTGACTAGTTGCAGCAAATTTAATTCAAGGGTATTAAAGGGTACTTCAGAACCAGGCCACACTTTTCAGATTTGTCCTGGATAAAAATTTAAAAAAAGCCATGTATCATCTTTTAAATTCACAATTATGTGCTACTTTGAGTTGGTCTGCTACATAAAAAATATAATAATACATTTAATAGAGGTTTAAGGGATATCAAGGCATTTACAAGGAAGTGAATAAGCTAGAAAGCATATCAGTAGGAGAAAAAAAAATCCACTCTTACACACTCTCTGAGGTCATGATTTCTGTGGCGATGTGTTCTATCTTAGTTTTCTGTTTTCCATTCTCCAGCTAAAAAAAAAATGCAGAACAAGACTGTGAATCAGCAGACATACCACATGTCTGTGGGACAGCAGCATTAGATGTGCTGCAGTGTTAGGGAGGACAAATAGAAGAAAGGATGAGCAAAGGTCTGATCCTCACCCCAATCTCTGGATGCTCAAAGTCTTCTTTACATGAGTTGAAACTGCTGTCATCTTCATCTGACGAGTTGACATCAAACTCATCGTCAGAGAGAGTCTCATGGTTAAAAATGTCCTCCTCGTCCGCTAAATTTCTGCGAGAAGAATGCATAGATGGAAAAAAAGACCTATTTATGTGCAACGCAAAAATATCTAAACATGTTAAAGGCAAACAGGAAAGAAACCAGATTTCTTTGAGATAAGATGGAGGTTTAAAAGGAAAACAGTCACCTAAGCACATTATCTGATCATTTGGCCACATAAATAGAAAGTTTGATCAATTAACATTTCCTGCTTTATTGGAAACTCAGTTTTACTTCAGTGTAAACTTGGCACACAAAAAAGAACCTAAATCCAGCTTCTTGTATAGAGTCAGAGAGCGCTAATTTATCAACATACTGACAAACCCAAAAGGTGACAAAAGTTACAAACCATGAAAAAGATCAGTCATCTTGCAACTTTAACAGATTAAAGTGGAAGAACAACTTTAAAATGCAACTTTTGTGAGAGAAATTCCCCCTATTCCCCGAAGGGAAGTGGTGCGTGTAAAGCAGCCTGCACCACCCTTAAAAAACAAAGGCAGAAAAGCATTACAGCAGAACGGTGCAAGAATTATATCATAACTTATCTCTGTTTTAGCTTTGTACTGAACTGTGAGCATATCTCTGTTTTTAGATCTGCTTTGAGTGCCTTTTAGGATGCATCTGTTACTCTGTTTGAGCCACATAAGAAGGGGCCAATTTAGCCACACAAAGCTTAGACCCAACATGTGTTTAGTCTAAAAAAGAATTCATATAATTATTCTTAGCAAACTACTAGCATATATAGAGAAGCAGTAAAAAGGATACTAATAATAACACCAACAGAACTGGCTGAAAGTTTTATTGACAAATCTTCACTCCTTTAATAGAGATTTTTTTAACAAATGAATTTTCTCCTACAGGCAGCCTTCACAATAACTAAAAGCATGAATAAAATAAATCCCTCTTTTTGCTGCAAATATTAAAGCTTGATGCTTAGAAAGGAATTTATCTCCCAAATTTTGTCCTCGTTAAGCTTCGTCTGTCATTGCCTTGCATGAGGAAGTGCCCGTTTGAAGCTTTTTGTTGAAATAATTTCAATAATTAAATAGCAAGCTCACTGGTTTTTCTCATTTTGAACGTTGCCTTTTATACATGTACCTCTGTGTGACATCACATCCACCTCAGGAAACAAAAACATTACTAATAAAGGCTCTCTTCCCAATATTTAAAGTTAAATATTTTTACAGCTTTGGTCAGATAACTTGCATATTGTTAGAGGTTCTAATAATGGTTCAAACAGCCATTTTTGTTAACAAAAACAAAAAAAAAACAGCATCACTTTTTCCTCACTGAATAAATGTAAGTAAATTAACAATTGGACTATTTTTAGTGGGATTTTACCGTCCTGTAGTGTGTTAAGCTTCTAACACCTTTATACAAAGAGTCCTAAATGTGGAAGACATTGATGACTTCTGCATGGTTTATTTTTTGAACTGTAATTTTTAACTTTCCTATTACCTACCTCTGCATTCATTTTAGATGTTCAACAAAACTGCTAGAAATCCTGGTACTGAATGAACAGATCCTAAGAACTAAAGATGGATTTTAAACCGTTTTTATTTAGCTAACGCTCTTTAAACACTTGGCTTTTAGAAAATTCGGTCACTTTAAAAATAGAGTTGTATATCTGATATACACCACCGTTAAAAAGTTTGGGGTCACATTGAAATGTCCTTATTTTTGAATTTTGGGGACCTGTGAGGAGTCTGTTTCTCAAACTAGAGACTCTAATGTACTTATCTTCTTGCTCAGTTGTGCAACGTGGCCTCCCACTTCTTTTTCTACTCTGGTTAGAGCCTGTTTATGCTGTCCTCTGAAGGGAGTAGTACACACCGTTGTAGGAAATTTTCAATTTCTTAGCAATTTCTCGCATGGAATAGCCTTCATTTCTAAGAACAAGAATAGACTGTCAAGTTTCAAATGAAAGTTCTCTTTTTCTGGCCATTTTTTAGCGTTTAATTGACCTCACAAATGTGATGCTGCAGAAACTCAATCTGCTCAAAGGAAGGTCAGTTTTGTAGCTTCTGTAACGAGCTAAACTGTTTTCAGATGTGTGAACATGATTGCACAAGGGTTTTCGAATCATCAATTAGCCTTCTGAGCCAATGAGCAAACACATTGTACCATTAGAACACTGGAGTGATAGTTGCTCTAAATGGGCCTCTATACACCTATGTAGATATTGCACCAAAAACCAGATATTTGCAGCTAGAATAGACATTTACCACATTAGCAATGTATAGAGTGTATTTCTTTAAAGTTAAGACTAGTTTAAAGTTATCATCTTAGAAAAGTACAGTGCTTTTCCTTCAAAAATTCACATTTCAATGTGACCCCAAACCTTTGAACACTAGTGTATATCAGTCAGTTTTTAAGCTGAATAACAGGAAAGAATGAGCTTCTATCCTGATCAGAAACTGGCTGCTTTTTGTGGCTTCAAGTATCATCTTTGTAAAGGTTTCTGTGACATTAGTGGGCTTTATTTCACAATTTAGGGCATAAGATGCCTCCTCTATTCATTGCACTATGTAGCGTTCCTGTTGTCCCACTTTTGGCCCTACAGATCACAGCACGGCTTTACAGCATTTGAAGGCTTTGCAGCTTATTTAAAATCTTAAGTGTATTTTGATGAAAAAACATCGACCGTGAAAAATATCCCTCTGACTCCTTTCAAAGAGTGTGCACCTAAGAGGTCAATAAATACTATGTAGATTATGTGGGTTGCCTTCTTCATAAAAACTAAAAATGTTATTTGCACAGCTGGAGACTTTGCTCACCATATTTTCAAAAAGTGGATTTTCTTTTGTAGATGTAAGACATTAATTCTATCAGAGTCGAGTAACATCTGAGAGATGCATTCCTTAGAATCTGCTCTTTAAGGTAAACATATACTGGAATTCAGCCTGTTATACATAAGGGCTCTTCATTTAATGTGCTTTTTCACCATGTTTTTTTTCCAACACTGTTTACATTTGATCACAGCTGTACTTTATAAAATGGAAATGTTAATTTCACTGCTAAGCTGCTGCTCATTCACTATCTAAAAGCTGCACAAACCGAAATTTCATTTTATCTACACTCTGTGTAGACAAAATTACAATAAAAGTTGCCCAAGTCTAAAGTAAATACAAAACACACAACCACTTATTTCTGCTTGACATTCGGTTTTCTGTCGTTGTATTATCACATAATTAATCCACACAAGTTTAAAGCCAACATACCACTTATATCCCTTTTTCTTTTTGGTAATCTAAAAAATACAGCACTTTAAATGTAATTCTTTTCATTTATTTAAGGATATAGTGTTTTTTAACTACCATCTCTCCAGGCTGTTGAATACCTGAAGGATCACCTTTAATCCCCCTCGTGTTCTAGCCTTATAGCTCTACCATCATCAACTAGAGGGATGCTAACAAAAAAAAAACTTTTCTGAAATATACAAACAAAGTTAGATATTTCATAGTCAAGAACCCCAACAAAGTTAGAGATCTGATATTGTATTCTTGATTATATTTATTTTTTTGTAAAGTTGACCTGAATTGTTCATAACTTGGGCACTAAAGCGACCAGAGTTAGAGATTGTAATTAATCAGACGTTTTGCTACCCTGACTCCTCCAGATGGATTTGCTCTGCATATCCATCTGGAAAC